GGCTGACTGAGCCCTTATAAATCTGTTTTGGATTCCATCCTGATTACTGCATGCAAATGCTCTTACACTATTCTGTCTAGGACAAAGACTGGAGGGACCACACAGAAGCAACAATCCATTCCTTCCACCTAATTGTTTTCTGTGGTGAAGGGAAGACAGCCAGATAGGGCATCACTTCTCTCAGAATGTCAGCCTCAGCTTAGTAATGGCCTTCTCTTAAGACTCTTAGATTGATGACTGACTGACTCCAGATGAGGCTCACAGGACTCATCCAAAGTCTGTTGCTGTAAACATCCACAGAAGAGTCCTGGATCTTAGTTCCTAGCAATAAAAATAATAATAATAAAAAAGTCAGCAAAATAACCAAGGCCTATTCAGTATTCTACAGAGGATACTTAAAAGTCCTTCTTTTAGATCAGATAGGTTCAGAGAGAACAGGGAGTTTACTAATGAAGGAAAAATTGTGGGGTATAGCAAGGGAAATCAGAGAATGGATAAGCAGTAACTCAGGCAAAAATGGTGTCCATTTCCTCAAGAAATAAACTGAAACAGTATAACACAGAATTATAATAGCAGGGTTGGTTCCAGAAGGAAGTTTAGGCGCAAGAAGAGTGCATTTTAAGAAGACTGAAGGGAGTTTTGTGTGCCAGGTATTCTACAGTCAACATGGGTGATGTTAGGTATAAGGTAGCAGAAATAGGAAAAGAGAGGGAAACACAACAGCATCTGTTTCAGTGTACACAGTTTGTCGTTATAATCCAAAACACAGTTCCTCCAGGGAGAAAGAATAATACTCAAAACTGAACAATAGTGGGAAACCTATCAGGTAATAATTTGTAGTGTGAATGTATGGGAGGAAAGTCAACCGTTTTGGAATGACAGAGAAAACAGTTAATAGACTGTGTAATTTACTAAGGCTATTCCATCTTTAACTTCTGATCTGTAGCGCAATAAAATTTTGTGATAGAGCACAGGTAGAAATATCAGTGCCTTTAAAACAGGGTATTGTTTTTTGAATCCTCATTAGTAAACAGAAGAAAAAAGAATAACCAAGATTATTAAATGCCTTATCAAAACATTTAAGGTTCTATGTACTTTCTTCAGCATCTTACTCAGAGTAGTAAATTGATTATTTTCATGAAACTAGATTTTAACTGTTATTCTAGAGAAAGAAGAAATATTTCATAGGACTTGATCAGAGGCTTCAGTATAGGATATTTTTACTGTATCAGTTAAGAAAAGAAGCATCTCTCAGCAACAGTGACCTAAGCACCAAGTTTTCTGAAATGACTTTGTTTTTTACATTTAAAAACATTATAGCTTCAGATAAAATCTTAAAAGCTCAATGCAAGAAGGACATTTTATTGTTATTGGTGTTATTGGTATTATTGACTGGCTGTTAATGAAATCATTCCAAGAAGTACAGGATATTTTGTTGCCATTAATCTCATTCTTGATCTACATTTATTGCTTAAGCTAAAATATTACCTAATAATGTACATGATCACGTTCTTGATTTTTCCTTTTCCTTTTTGTTTTGCTCATATATGATAAACATTGCTGCTGCCAAGGAAAGAATTTTGGCATAACATATAGATGTTACTTGGAAGAAAACATCTTATATATATTTTGATGCATCTGACAAAGCAAATATTAAGCATACAGAATTCTAGCAACTGTAAGTCCGGGAATAGACAACTGTACCATGGGTATCATTCTTAAAAGCTGAAGTTTTATTTTACTAAATTGTCTATATTAAAAACAGATCTGTGCCTGGTGTGGAATTTCACTGCATCAAGTGTTACAATATTTTTGTTTTCATTGCAAGCAGGAGAATGCATGTAGAACAAGTGTTAAGAAACATGACAATAAATTAGAATATAATTTACAAAAGCAAATAATAAAAATAATAATAAAGTAAGTGTACCACATTAATACCAAGTATAAAATAATAAGCAACTAATCACAATAATACAAAGGTACTTTCAGTCTGTATTATTAAGGATATCTATGTGACATTCACTCCATTACAAAGTTCCTAACAAAATGGACTGGTTTTGGGTGTATACACCTTGAGGGGTTAATCTGTAGATTTTTCTTTCTGTTTTGATTTTCTTCAGTTGAAGCTGATAATATCGCTCAGTGGAAGTACTGGCACTAGATTGATTTCTGCATTTAGTATTCTACTATTTGATTCTAGGCTTGTCATATTTATAGCCTATACAAATAGTCCTATTGTCACAATTTAGGAATATAACACTCTTTAGCTTAGATTATATAGATGACTACAGTGTAGCAGCAGCAATGAACTGTGTTGTGGAAACCAATTATTTTTCTTTGAATTAGGTTTCATTTTTTGGTCTTAGTCTGAAGCGTTGCTTAGTTTGTAAATCCACGTACATTCTGGGTTTTGTTCCCTTTAATAATACAATTCAACGTTGCTCCGGGGAGTTCTTTAAATTCCACCCTCAGTGCTATTATGTTGCAGAGTAAACACTCTGCAGACTCCCTAGTGTTCTAGCACCAGTAAGAGAGCAAAATGCGTCTTTGGAAACACTCCTTACAATTTTAATGTCCTAAGTGAGGTTAAAAAAAAAAAAAAAAGGTTTCTTTTGAATACATAGAAAACCCTTTTCTTGTTAGCTGAAAAGACACATTAGCTGATAAACAAAACCATACCCTGGAGAAAACTGGGCCCTGATACAAAGAGGCCTCTTGCTTAGAGAATGCCATGGTAACCCCTTTCCCTTTTATCTTTTTTTTGACCTAACCAGGGTATGCTAGCACCAACGTGTTTTGTCAAAAGGATATAGAAAGTCGATTCACTTAACAGAGAAGGACTACATACTCAATCCATATGTGCAACTCCTAAAGACTGTTTTTTTTTATCTGCTGGTGTCAGTTTTAACAGGAGTTGTTTACATGGTGATGAGAGCAGCAGATAAGGATTTGTGAATAGATGCAAGCCAACTGAAAATGAATTCCACTGGTCACAGGCATATGGAAGTGGAGATAATGGCAAGAGGTAGCAGATGACAGGAATTTGATGGTCATGAATATGTGGGCTACACAAAACCCCACAGATCGATTGTCAATATGTTGGGGGGATTTCATAGTATGAGTCCTGTTAACAATAGATATTGTTCCATGTTAATTCACATTAGTAAATAGTGTGCAACACATTTGGCTTTGTTAATGGCAAAATACACTGATACACTTCAATCTCATGATATTTTGAAATTATTTTTCATTAAAAAGAGTATTTTTTTAAAAAAGTGCTATTAGAATTTGTAACACATAATGTTAATTGCACTACAACAAAGGAGGCATAGTTGGACACAGAAGCACATTCATCAAGTATCTGCTGCAAACTGCAAGTGTTCAAGTACAATATATTAATATAAACAAGTATCCACTTTCCTTATCGCTTTGTTGAGTCTGTTACTGAAAAGTGAAGGGGAAGAGGAGCATGACATTAAACTTTTTTATGGTAGATTCTTGAATGTAACTTGCCTAAGTAGTTTGCTTTCACAATTAAAAATGCAAAGTATTTGGTGAATATTAAAAATACAATAATATGAAATAAGTGGAGTATGGCAGCAGAATAGTTAAGGCATCTAGCTACTAATCTAGAGGCGTGAGTTTGTTCCAGTCTCACACTGAAAGCTGCCCCTAGATTTAAATATGGACCAGCTTTAAATATGTGCCTGGCCATTTAGGTGAAGGTGGCCAGGCTTCATTCTAGCCACCCCTTTTCCAGTGTGCCTTTCTCCTGATAGCCCAACAGGCCTCTTGGCTCAAGCACACTTTTGACTTCTCATTTGAACAGAACCTAGATATCTCCACGAGTCTTTTATTCTTTGTTTGTAATCCTTGCCAACTCATATGTAGTCTCCTGAACTGCACATTCACATATTCTTTCTTTCTGCCCTTCTGCTATGGTATCAAAGAAGGGAACATCTGGAATCCATTTTAACTTTCAGCTTTGCAAAGGACTGTTGCTATTACACATTAGGCTTATATTTTGCACTGGAACTCCTTGGTTTTGGAGAATCCAGTAACATGTAAACCAGATCTAGATGCCCACAAAGTTGTATCTTCTTTGTGGCTGGTGTTGTAAACAGAAGTGAGCTGGAGTCAAAGTGGAAGTTCTAAGCGATCTGTATGATAGTAGTGAAGGAGCTGGCAATACGGTCTTCACCACTATTGGAGTCTGCCTTCTCCATGATATTGAAATATATTCCTTTTCAGTGGAAATCTCAGCTTCACTTTTACAATGGTAAGATGGCTATAAACCTGCAACACAGATTTCGTTTCGTTTCATAGCACACTTGTATTTCATGCACCACTGCAATAACTGTTGCACCTCTTAAAACTAAGTCCCTCATGGTTGTTCTATTTAGTATAGTTTCATATATGGCTCACAGCAGTGTTCAGGAAATATGGACTACTCCAAAGGGAATGAAGGAAAAATACATATTGTTTTAACAGCTGATTTTATAATTTAAATTGTGGTGCTGTGTTGTGAGATAAAATAGTTAACATTTTTAAGCTATGACAACATTTTTTTGATTCTTATTTACTTCCATAGTAGACCAAGTCATAACAGCTACATTTTAAAAAGTTTTAAATACAAATGGATTCAGTGTCATTGCTAAGTCCGTAACAAAAATTATTTTAATGGTCCAAGGAGGTAAACAGACTATTGATTTAGTCAAAAGAACACAAATGTTCCACAGTAAGCTATTCTATATGTGCTGTGTGGATCTTTCCAATTTGGCATGCTTTCCTTATACTGTGCCCAGCACTTTGGATGAATAAATCCCACTTCACAGAAGTTAAAATAATATTGAAATCCTGTCAGCTGGAGCTGACCAGTGGTTATGTTGTCCACAGGGTAATGCATTTGCAAGGATGTCAATCTCATTCCGCTGTGTGGCTCTCTTCGATGGACACTTTTCCACAATAATAACAAGGCACGTTCTCGTGCTTTCTGTGGGTCAGTGTCCTTGGCAGGTCTTGCAGCACATCTGTCTGAAGTATGCTCGACTGCAGAACTTGAACTTCAACACCAGTGGGCAATATGCCACTTTGTTCACATCTTTGCACTCTAATAATTAAGGGCATTAAAGAGAAAAAATCGGAAATAAAAATTAAAGTACAAAGAAAATTTGACATTTAACATGCTGCCTCTCTATCCACCTTGCCCTGTTTCCAACTACTCTTTCTAGTCCAGCCTAGTGCACACAATATATTTTAAAAAGCCATAAAAATGTTTGCAGGGCTTTTCTCCCAGACATTTAGAAGTGCGCCCACTTTGTCTTGAATTACCATTTATTGGGATAAATGATCACTTTAGATAGCTAGGAAATATGAGTCATTTTACTTACAATACTTTTATATCTTCTTTCTCAGGAGTTATTGTTTTATTAATCCATGAGAGGTTATCCAAAATCAAACACAATTTGCACTATTTGGTACCATGCCTGTACATTTGTAAGTATCCTTGAAATAGAATATGCATTGCAGCTAACAGGGGTGGAGAAAACAACAAGTGTTATAAATAAAGGCACCAACAGTGTGAGTTCAGTGACTGGACTGAATGGTGGATTATATTTTAGGCTTGGCTCCATACATCCACACTGTCTTTTATGCAGGAGGAAAAGCCATTTTTATGCCTGTAATAGACATGTAAGAGCTTTTTTCATACTTGTGTTTTCCCTATATGCTGGGCTTACTGCCTCAGCAGCCCTTGCCATACTGGCAGGTAACTATTCCAAGAAGGGAGAACAAGAGCTCAACCATGAAGAGGAAGGATTACTTCTTTTCCATCCCACACAGGTTGTTTCTAAAGTGACTTGTGGGTGTACATTACAGGAGCACTGCTGGAGTATGCTGTGGTTCTCCTCTGGCTCAGTTTCCTTTCTGTAGAAAGAGGGTGGGAATAGGGAATGGAATTGTTTGGTCCATGCCCAGTTCTTATTATGATTATAGCTGGAGATGCGGCTGTATCTGAGAGCTCAATGGTACACTCAGGTTCTACAGCTCGAATGTTGCTACTACAGATTTGCTTTGCACTGGAGTGAATATTGTGATAGATGCCTTATAGGGGATTTTTAGTTATAAGCATTTGCACAGTTTCTTCCAGACTGATATTAAAATAGGACTTTGGCAAGGAGCCTTGTTTCATGTATAGGAAGATGGAAGAGATGTATATGGAGAAAAAGAAAAACCCACAAGTTTGAATAGCAAAAATGAAGTGGTGGGAAGAATGAAATTAAATTAATTTCTCAGAAAATAATTTGTCTCAAAAGAATGCTGCAAAATTTTACTGTTTTAAGGTTGCATTTGATACTGGCTTCCTCCTACAATCTTTCTCAAATTTGAGAAACAGCTATAAAGAAAATGTGAATGAAAAGGAGAGAAACTAGCAGTACTTTGACTATTATCATATTTTATATTGATTTGATATCTAGAAGTGAAGACTGGAGGCCAGGATGCTGTTGCTCCAAGGTCTGACAGAACAACAGTCCTTGACTCCGAGATGTCTGTAAGCCAAATATGAGAGACAACAGACAGACACACCAAACAGGTAGGAAAAGAAAAAAGTAATAGTGAAACAAACACAGTCATCATGTACAATCCCTTCAGCTACTCCTATTTGTCTTCCTTCTACGCATGACCTCACAGTACAATATTTTTGCTCCAGAACAGGTAGTTATGGACAGAGTGTTCATGCTGCAAGCATACTGTAGTAGCAAGTTAAGTGCAGATGAGAATTTTTGGTATTTGAACCTAGGAAAGCATTAGTGAGGCTGAACTTCAGGGTCTGTACTGAATGGCATTTCCAATAATGGCAATGTGCATGCTTCTAGCTAGACGAGTAGAGGTCATGAAATGATTTAAACTTTCATTTCATTAACACAGATATAGTGTTTTTGTTGCAAATTTTACTCCACCTACCCAATGTTTTATGTACTATTTTTCTACTTTTTTAATTCTGGAAACAGAGTTGGATGTCAGCAGAAAAGACATTGGGGGTAGCTGGTTGAAACAGACATATTTCTCTATCAGCAACTGCACATGGTCACTATTTTATTTCAAAAACTCTTCCCAAAAGAGGTCAAATATCTTCCAGAAATATTTCAGGTCCTTGTGTTTGTGTTTGCTGGGAATATAGGAGAGACAGATGGTGAATCATAAATGAAGTGAGGAAAAAAAGGTTCACTTGATGAAATGTAAAAAGTTCACTCAATCCCAAAAATAACCCTCATATAGGTTGTATTTCATTAAATACAGGTAAAGTAAATAACTTCATTTTTGCTAAAAGTAGGATTTGAAATTGTCCCATTTCATATTTCTTTATGTTATTCTTCCGCTTGACTAAAACTGGACCCTGTTCAGCCAATGCCATTTGGACAGCAGTGAGACACTATTCTGGAAGTTGCCCACAACTTCTGTTTTAAAAATCAGGTTTGAAATAGATATGGTGGCTGATGAAGTAGCCTATTATTCACGGGACTGTGGCTGAATGGAAGAGGTTTAGCAGAGCCCTTTTTGTTCCTAGTAACTACTGTTAATAAGTTTAAATAATCTACATGCATTAATCTCTCCTTTCCTGAACTTTGTGGCCAGATCAGACAATATTATGATATCAAGTATCACATTACAGAAATAAAACCACAGAATGTCACTGTGCCTTCAGCTAAAGAGACTGCAAAGACATACCACAAAAAATACAAGGAAAACTGAAATGACATAAAAATAGATAAAATAGTTTTTCAGGTAAAGTTTCAGATGGCCATTAGCAGTCTAGATTCAGCAGATATATACACACACACACACACTTAGAGAATAAAATAATTTCAAATTGTGTGGTACATGCTGCCTGTAGTTCACTTCCAACAGCAAATGTTATGTTACCCTCATCAGTGTCAGTCTGTCAAAACCTTGTCTACAATATTCTAAATCTCCAATGAAGAGTTTAAAGAAAACAAAGAGCTAAAGCAGATGTAAAATGTGACAAGATATACTGTAACTTTCTTTTACTGTTCCTATATCCCCAAAATTTTTACTCTTATTTTATGTAAACAACCTTTACTTTCCCCAAGAAAGTGCTTTTAAACTTTACTAACATGATCATTATACTGCGGAGTGGCTCAAGCTTTCTCAAAAACATGTATGTGATCTTGGGTCACCAAAATTAAATTGTCCAGAAATTGATAAATGGGTCCCACAGGCTGCGAGCACCAGAGTTTGGGGAGTGAAGGGAATCAGAGGTTCACAGGGGTTTGAAATGAGAAGGGAATCCCCTCAGCTAGTCCGATCCTGCTGCAAACCAATGACCTGTTGTTGAAGTTGCTTTTGCCCCACAGTGGGGCCCAAAGCACAAGGCAGCGCTACTAGGTGGCATGTGGACAAAGTCTCTGCGTGCGAGTAGATATGCTCTGCTACGCACATGGACTCCCAAGGGGCAGAACCCTCCCTCTGAGAGGCCTGACTCCTTCCCTGAACCCCAAATACAGATACACAGTTCACATCCCACTGCACTCGGAGACAGATGCATGCATACAGGCACAGAATACTCCTTTCACAAAATACATCTACAAGGAAATACCAGAACTCAAATACTTCTTTCCTAGAAAGTATTATATTTCCAAAAACAGTTGTGCTTTTTAGGATGTTAGTTCTTGAAATCTTAAATCATCTCTAGTATGCTGAAAAAAATATGCCTCCCTGTTCAAAGGGTAACACTTTACTAACACAAGAGCTGTCAGCAACTCTTGTGTCAAAGAGGATTTTTTTAAAGCCAAAAGTGTAAGCAAAAAATGTGCAATACATGCAAATTATTCTGCAAACACTCAGAGTTTGAGCTTCTTAAATTCAGCATTTAATAGTAGCTCTGAAATGTTTATAAATTAGGATATATATTTAAGAAATACTTGCCAAAATATTGAAAAAAATAACTTGAAGACAATTTTTTTTTCTAATTTTTGGATAGGGTACCCTTACTATTTCATGGATTGCAACTAGGTTCTTGAGAAAGGATGTAGGTATTTTAAATTGTTAAATGAACTTTGAGATTACACTTATTTTTGAACCATTTGAGATACTTAACTACTTACAAATAATCAGTGGTTTCCAGTAAATACCTTCAATATGAGACAAAAGCAATCATAGGATTGTAGCAATGTGTTGGGATCTCTATCTACTGGAAGAGATTGTGCTATATCTTTTTCCCCTCAATTCATAGAATCATAGAATGGTTTGGGTTGGAAGGGACCTTTGACGGTGTATTGGGTTTGTGTGGCAAGGTTTTGGTAGCGGGGGGGGCTGCAGGGGTGGCTTCTGTGAGAAGCTGCTAGAAGCTGTGTCTGATAGAGTCAATGCCAGCCGGCTACAAGACAGACCCGCTGCTGGCCAAGGCTGAGCCAATCAGTGATGGTAGTAGAGCCTTTGTGATAACATATTTAAGAAGGAGAAAAAAACATCAACAGCAATTGCAGCTGGAGAGAGGAGTGAGAATATGTGAGAGAAACAACTCTGCAGAAACCAAGGTCAGTGAAGGAGGAAGGGGAGGAGGTGCTCCAGGTGCCGGAGCGGAGATTCCCCTGCAGCCCATGGTGAAGACCATAGTGAGGCAGGCCCATGGAGCTCCACGGTGGAACAGATATCCATCTGCAGCACATGGAGGACTCCACACTGGAGCAGGTGGATGCCCGAAGGAGGCTGTGACCACGTGGGAAGCCTGTGCTGGAGCAGGCTCCTGGCAGGACCTGTGGACATGTGGAGAGAGGACCCCACACTGGAGCAGATTTGCTGGCAGGACTTACGTCTCCATGGGGAACCCATGCTGGAGCAGTCTGTTCCTGAAGGACTGCACCCCGTGGAAGGGACCCAGGCTGGGGCAGGTCGGGTCTGCAGCACATGGAGGACTCCACACTGGAGCAGGTGGATGCCCGAAGGAGGCTGTGACCACGTGGGAAGCCTGTGCTGGAGCAGGCTCCTGGCAGGACCTGTGGACATGTGGAGAGAGGACCCCACACTGGAGCAGATTTGCTGGCAGGACTTACGTCTCCATGGGGAACCCATGCTGGAGCAGTCTGTTCCTGAAGGACTGCACCCCGTGGAAGGGACCCAGGCTGGAGCAGTTCGTGAAGAACTGCAGCCTGTGGGAAGGACTCACATTGGAGAAGTTCGTGGAGGACTGTCTCCTGTGGGAGGGACCCCACGTTGGAACAGGGGAAGAGTGTGAGGAGTCCTCCCCCTGAGGAGGAAGGAGCGGCAGAAACAACATGTGATGAACTGACCACAACTCCCATTCCCCTTCCTCCTGCCACTGCTCTGGGGGGAGGAGGTGGTCAAAAATAGGGAGTGAAGTTGAGTCCAGGAAGAAGGGAGGGGTGGGGGGAAGGTGTTTTAAGATTTGGTTTTAGTTCTCAATGTCTCTACTCTGTTTTGAATCGTAATAAATTAAATTAATTTTCCCCCAGGTTGAGTCTGTTTTGCCCATGACGTTAATTGCTGAATCATCTCTCCCTATCCTTAACTTGACCCACAAGCTTTTCATTACATTTTCTCTCCCCTGTCCACCTGAGGAGGGGAATGATAGAGCAGCTTTGGTGGGTACCTGGCATCTGGCCAAGGTCAATCCAACACAAAGGGTCATCTAGTCCAACCCCTCTGCAATGAGCAGGGACATCTTCAACTAGATCAGGTTGCTCAGAGCCCTGTCCAACCTGACTTTGAATGTTTTATGGGATGGGGCATCTACCACCTGTCTGGGCAAGCTGTTCCAGTGTTTGGAACATCTGTGTTTGGACATAAAACATCAGTTAGCTTTTGAGCTTTGAAGGGCAGAATGTTTCCTAGATTGATAATCATCACCTAAAGATTACTTAAGATAAAAATGGGTATTAAAATAACCAGGTCAAATTCTATTATGAAGATGCTTTTCAAATGACAAGATGGGATGATAAGCCTCTACTTAAAATTAAAACTTCCAAGCAATAAATTACGGTGCTTATAGTGAATCTTCAGCGTATTCCTGGGATGATTTTCATATGCTCCGTTTCATTACAGACATGTCAATCTGACATACTTTTATGACAGCTTTGAATCTGTGGCGTGAACTTGAATGGATACAGAAGGTATTAAATGAACACCAAATCTGGGAAGACTGTAGCATAAATTTGCCTTTTTTTGATTTAAAATCATAGTATTTGTTCCATCTAAATAGGATATTAAACTTCAGTGTAGTTGGAGAGCCTGTGTAAAACATACTCCATTATATACTGCACAGAGGTTAGTTATGTTAAAAGGAGCAGCTTTAGTGACATTGTGAAGTCAAACACTCAAAATTTAGGGGATACCTGTTTTAAGAGAACTATTATTGCTGTGCAATCTTTATTTTTGGACACGTGTGTTTTGGTAATTTTGGATTCCTTTTCCCCTTCCATACAAAATGGAATATACTCATCTGGTGAGCAACTATTCTAAAGTTTTACAATCATTAAGGAAACTTTTTTTTACTGCCTAGCACTCAAATTGTACTTTGATGACAGAATTTCCTAATAGGTTGTCTTGGACAATTTATGAGTCCAGATCTGGAGCCTTTCATAAACATTAATAAGCTTATTTTGACATTATTATCTAATATATCCTCTAGCAATAATATGTTATGATAAAGTTAGTTAATAGTCTGATTAAATTAGGCTGTATCATGTAAAAAATACTGTAATTGTTTCAAACAGGCATTATAAATCCAAGAAATTCAAAGTTAATTAGAAGAAGCTGAAAAGTAAGTCAAAGTATAAGGACAGGCTTGTAGCACCATGCTTTTTTGCCACTACATTGTTGTGTTAACCACTGATGGAGCAGGTAACAGTTCAGTGGATGAGAAGTATATCATGCTCCCCCTGCTATGATGGACATTTCCATTGAACCAATAAAGACACTGGAAAATTAATGACACAAAATGATAGCATTTTGTCCATGACTTAGGCTATATATTTTTAAAGGTGTTTTTTTAAACAAAGAACCTATATTTAGGTTTTTATTGACTTTACCTTTGAATTACAATGACTAATTAGAAAATAATTGTAAAAAAATAATACACAGTCTGAGAGATGATGTAATGTAGACTTTTACTAATAAATTAATGCAGTAATACTGACCATGTCACTTTACTCTTTCCAGAATAAATTATATTAAGATGGTAAAATTACCTTCTGTGTTGGAAATGGGAGCACTGTCACATTTACTTTCACACTGCTGCATTGATGGAGGTCTAAGTGTTTCTGGACACTCACTGGATGCTTGTCCGGTGTATGAGAGGCACTGTACTGTTCGCATCTGTTGCCCAAGACCACACTGTGCAGAACACTAAAAAAAAGAGATAAAAAAGTAAAACAACTTGGATCGAATTTTTAAATTTAAAACAAGACAACAGGTAAGCAATCAGGAACAGTACACGTACACAAATTAAAAAAGAAAGACAAGCATCTGAAGAGATTTGGTTAATGCATAAAATAATTTTCATAAAATATCTTAGAGTTTTTTGGGTTTTGGACAGTATATGAGACCACTTGTCTTTCAAAGAAAAAAAAACACATTGCAATGTTAGCTCCCTGAACAACTTGTATTTGAGGTATGAGAATATAATTTACACTATTTCATATATCATGTCTGAGTTTAAATGCATGTTTTCAAGAGAGAAATCATTTACTTTAGAACAAAGATGAAAGACCAAGGAGAACAAGAATTCAAATCTGCTAGAGGACATTTTTATGGAAAAAGGAAAGTATCTTTCAAACAAAAATCCTTTGCTTTTTCAAAGTATTTTTTTAGTTTCTGTAACTAAACTGTTTTTAGGACATATCAATTTAAGATAAATGTGCACCTGGACAACTAGCATAAAAGAAAAGTCAATTAGACTGTAATACCACAAATTATTGTCCCCTGGTTATTTAAGCTAAGGTGTTTTATTTTCATTAGTGGCAAATTACTCAACAAACTTAGAAACTGAAATATCAAGTTATTGTTTAATAACAGGCCATTGATCATAACTGAGATGCAAAAACATAATGAAAGAAGTAAATTTCGTATCTCCTATTTAGAAACACTGCATAATGGCAGCACCATTCAGCCTGTGCTGTAACAACTTAGATCCCTGTCTGGTAATTAAGCATATTTTATGTAAAATTATATAGGTCTTGGAAAGTTTTTTGGGTGGCTAGATATCTTAGTAAAATTTTAATTGGCTTTGTATTTCCATCGTGTTTCTCAACTAAGTTAAATGTGTTTTAAAAATACTAAACCTTGCAACATTACTGTATCCCAAAATCCCCTTCTAAAAAGCTATAATAAGGACTATTTAATTTTTTTGAAAATGCATATGGAAACTCATCCAATAGAAACTAGATTACTGTCAGCAAATCCTTTATAGTTCAGCAGACAGCTATCATTCAAAATAACATTTCAATCTGAGACAAACAGGGGAGAAGCTTTTGCTGCAGTCATGGGAACCATCTCATCTATTTCCAGCAGCATCTTATCCCTAAAGGTACTAATGTGTAGGAGACTAACAGCAATAAATACTTATATGAACTGTCTTACCTGTCCCCAGTCTCCAGTAACCCAGCGAGGAGGAGGACATCGGCCTAAACTACAGCGGGTGCGGACTGGAGGTTTGCTTTCCTCTTGGCATTGCGTGGCTGGAAAAGTTTTTAAAAGATCGCTGCTTTTGCAAAGAACAATTCGGTGTTTGAATCCTGGGCCACACTTTGGTGTGCACTGAAAAAATATTTATATAAATGAATAATGAAAATCTCAGTAAAAAGTCAATAAATGTGTCAGAAATGCTATTATGGAAAATAGGAGAATATATTTATGTTCTTATAATTAAACTATAATACAAATTTTCTCAAGTTGATCGTGATAATTTAAAAATGTTTAGAAACACAAACAAGCTGACTGATGATTGTTTTATTAAGTTAAAGGTTTTATAAGTTTTAACTTGATAAAAGCAGATTTCCTTTGCTATTTATATTTAGGCTAATGTGTTACTATTTACTTTTATATATAAAAAGCCTTTTTTTGGGTTGGACTAGATGACCCTTATAGGTCCCTTCCAACCCAAACTATTCTATGATATATACATATACAGTAGGACTGAGTGCACCCTCAGCTGAGGTCACCAAGCTGAGTGGCGTGGTTGACACGCCTGAAGGAAGGGAAGCCATCCAGAGGGACCTGGACAGGCTAGAGAGGTGGGCCCGTGTGAACCTCATGAGGTTCAACATGGCCAAGTGCAAGGTCCTTCACCTGTGTTCCCAAACATGGGAAGGCAGGCTGGGCAATGAGTGGATTGAGAGCAGCCCTGCCAAGAAGGACTCGGGGGTATTGGTGGATGAAAAACTGAATATGAGCCGGTAATGTGCGCTCACAGCCCAGAAAGCCAAATGCATCCTGGGATGCATCGAAAGAACTGTGGCCAGCAGGTCGAGGGAGGTAATTCTGCCCCTCTACTCTGCTCTGGTGAGACCCCACCTGGAGTACTGCGTCCAGCTCTGGAGCCCCCAGCATAAAAAAGACATGGACCTGCTTGAGCGGCTCCAGAGGAGGGCCACAAAGACGATCAGGGCGCTGGAGCACCTTTCCTATGAAGAAAGGCTGAGAGAGTTGGGGTTGTTCAGCCTGGAGAAGGCTCCAGGGAGACCTTATAGTGGCCTTCCAGTACTTAAAGGGGGCCTACAGGAAAGATGGGAAGGAACCCTTTTATCAGGGAGTGTAGTGATAGGACAAGGGGTAACAGTTTTAAACTGAAAGAGAGTAGATTTAGATTGGATATAAGAAACAAATCCTTTACTGTGAGGGTGGTGAGACACTGGAACAGGTTGCCCAGAGAAGTTGTGGATGCCCCTTCCCTGAAAGTGTTCACGGCCAGGGTGGATGGGGCGTTGAGGTCCTGGTCTAGTGGAAGGTATACCTGCCCATGGCAGGGGGGGGGGAACTAGATGTTCTTTAAGATCCCTTCCAACTCAAACCATTCTATGATTCTATGATACCTCAAAACAAGATTTTTAAGAAAATCTCTCAGTGGGAGTCACCTAAACTAGTCAATACAGAATGGACAGGTTTATTCATAATTCTGTGATTCTATGATTCTATCCTAAATCTTATCTCTGCTTAGATTTAGGATCTTAAACTGGGCTGCAAAAAGATGGGTCCTCCATTTGGACTTTATAATCCAGAACTGCGAAGGGAGTATAGAAAAACTTTCCTTAAAATCTAACCTTTCATTTCCTGTCCTATTCTAGCCTTTCCTATCAAGGTACTGCCTCCTTATCTACAATAGTTCAGTGTTCAGAATTCTCATACAGAATAGCTAGGTTCAATCCTCCTCATGCTGAAGGGCCTTTACTTTAACCCCAAATCTTGTGTACCCTAAGTACCTGCCGAATAGAAAACTAGGAGAAGGAGGGAAGGAAGAGAAGAAAGATCTCTATATCTCTGGCTGAACTGCAAAAAGAATTAAATATTAATGCTAAATAGAGACCAAAAAAGAATGACAATGAATATGTCAGATCTTCAGCATCATGACCGTGACTCCTCAGTTCTGGTCCAAATTCCATGGAATGTTGCACATAGCTGTTTTCTGCACTCTGGGTGTTGCATTCTAAAATCTGAAATATTATAAAAATGCAAAAAAGCAAGCTATCACCAGCTGACTCTTAAAATAGACCAGTAGCTACTGCTGTACCTCATGTGGAACCCGGATCATTAGACATGATCTAAGAATGCCTTCTAAATCGAGGCCTTTGGAGAGGATATATGGAGAAATGTCTAGTGTGTGAATCACTGTGTGGCTTTGGCAAGAGGTTGGCACTCAGCTTCTCTTATGTGTCAAGACAGGCAAGTAGAACTTCCGATAATCAGTGAATAAATGTCAAAACCCAATGTGCCTATGGAGTTTCATAACCTCTAGAATGTGATAGCAAATAAGCAAGAGTTTGAGGATCAAGATTTGAGTTTAGGTGCATCAATTTTCTAGTCCAGCTTGAAGACATATTCTTTTATCTATATCTAAGCTGCCATTTGAGAAAAATCTTTCAGCTACTGCTACCAGAAGAAAACAAAATCTGTTAAAAAACACACTTTTTTGGAGTCATAGTCAAAATTCTACTAAATAAGATGAACTACACCCTGTCCCCAGAAATGAAGGTGAAGTAAGGAAATAGGTTGACTACGATAATACTGAATCACAAAAAAAAAAAAAAAGCATCAGTAGAATTCAACAAAAAAGTTATGTCTCCACAGCAAATGAAAGGCAGAATACACAGACAAAAAAAACCCCAGGAAACAGTGTCTCCCATTACCACATGCTTCTAGAATTTTTGACTCACTCAGTGGAAGTCATGACTAACGGCAATATGAATGCAAAGTAAATGTGGTTGTCTGATAAGGCTCTTCCCAAGAAATCCTTAGATTATTTTTTGCTGGTTTATATTTTATTATCTGTAAAAATATAAAAGAAGTATTTTACAGTGGGCAGAATAATTCAGTCAAAGCTCAACTATTGCAAAGCGTAAAAAATTTTATGGCAAAACTGATGTTACCGGAGAATGACTACATTCTGCTAGGCAAGCCACCGTTAGCTTTAATTACTATTTGATATAACCACTTTTACATTCTCCTAAGGACATTATTTAATCTCTATGTTTACAAAATATTTTTGTTTCTCTGGCCAAAAAGATACAGAAGACTAAAAAAATGTATAACTACCCTGATGCTCAAGTTCATTAGCATATAAAAGATCTAAAATTGCTTAATTTGTATCAAGCATTGCTTGCTTTGACTATAAAAACAAAAGTTTAGAATTTGCATTCCAGAGAAAAGTAGCAAGATTTGCCATTGGCTTCAATGGAAGCAGTATTCAACTCTTCCACTTTTTGAGTTCACTCGTTCTCATTTTCATGCTTCTGTCAGAAAATAATATAAATACATATATATATATATAAAATGTTTATATGTATATTACTATAGGGATTTAAATACACTATATTTCTGGGAACACTGAACAGAAAAAAAAAAGCATTTTTTCTCATTGTATTAAAATGGTCAAGACACTCTGCCAAGCTACACCAGGCAAAATTCATACCAGAAAGAAGTCAGCATTTTTTTCACAGTCCTGATGAAATGCCACCACAACCAGAAGCTTAGCAGAGAACATTTTTGTTCAAAATTATAACACACTCCTGTTGTATAAAAGCCTGGTTGTGAAGGCTTTTAAAAGCTGTTCAAGCTTTTTACGAGGCTGGCAATGTTGATGGATCTAAGGATGATGTATTAGTGAGCAAAGTCTAGAGGCGGTAGCTAAAGAGGAATAGTATATAGTCAGCATATATTTATGGCTCTATAACTTGTCATATGGATACTATTATTTGTTAATACTGAGGTGATGCCTAGATATTCCAATAAGAAATAAAGTATCATGATAATGTACACAAAGAACTTACAAACTATCAGTGCCATGGATGTGGTATGAAAGAGTCTTCAACCAAACATCCCTTTCTACTCATCCATTCTTTCCTTCTCATTCCTTTCCTTTCTACTCTTTCCAAGTGAGATTCATTTTCATTTTCAAAGGGCTGGAATACAGTGTACCTTTTCAGGTAGGGACAGTTTAAAACCTTTTCTGCCTTGATTATGGTGCCCTACTTGTTGTGTGAAATGCTGGCTAACAGTGGGGTAAAAAAAAATTGTTCTGCATGTAGAACAAGACACACTTTAAGATTCACTGTGCCATTTCTAGGTTTCTTGGGGTCCTGGTCTACACTGAGAAAAGTTGCTGAAAGAAACTGCTTACCTACAGGTTTCAGGCTATAAAGCTGACAACTTTTTACAGAACCGATTCCAAAAAATATTTTATCTTAAACCTGAATAAAACTAGAGACAGATTCAGGTATAGTCTGGGAATTACTCTCTGTTTTATGATAGAGGATTATTTACAAAACCTGTTACAAATAACAGGAGATTCAGAATATAAGCAAAAGCATCTGTATGATAAATTAATGAAAGCAAAAAAAAAATTCATAAGTTCACATTATATTTTAGAAGAATTTTCTTTGATATAAAAGCTCACTAAAATGGCATTTCACTCATAATTCCATACAGAACAAAACCAAACAGTTGAGCAATACAGCACATTGACACATTTTTCTTTTGTCCAAAGAAAAGCAACATATATAATGGAAAAAAATATAATTGTATATTGGGTTTGCATGGCAAGGTTTTGGTAGCGAATGGGAGGTGGGGTGCTACAGGGATGTCTTCTGTCAGAAGATGCAAGAAGCTGCCTCCATGTCTGATAGAGCCAGCTCCAGCTAGCTCCAAGACAGAGCTGCCACTGGCCAAGGCTAAGCCAATCAATCAGCAATGGTGGTAGAGCCTTTGTGATAACATATTTAAGAAGGAGAAAAAAAATGCTGTGCAACAGCAGCTAGAGAGAGGAGTGAGAATATGTGAGAGAAACAACTCTGCAGACACCAAGGTCAGTGAAGGAGGAGGGGGAGGAGGTGCTCCAGGCACCGAAGCAGAGATTCCCCTGAAGCCTGTAGTGAAGACCATGGTGAAGCAGGCTTTCCCCCTGCAGCCCATGGAGGTCCACAGTGGAGCGGATATCCACCTGCAGCCCGTGGAGGACCCCACGCTGGAGCAGGTGGATGTGCCCTGAAGGAAGCTGTGACCCTGTGGAGAGCCCATGCTAGAACGGGCTCCTGGCAGGACCTGTGGACACATGGAGAGAGGACCCCACACTGGAGCAGGTTTGCTGGCAGGACTTATGTCTCCATGGGGGACACATGCTGGAGCAGTCTGTTCCTGAAGGACTGCACCCCATGGAAAGGACTCAGGCTGGAGCAGTTTGTGAAGAACTGCAGCCTGTGGGAAGGACCCAAGTTGGAAAAGTTCATGGAGGACTGTCTCCCGTGGGAGGGAGTGTGAGGAGGAAGGAGTAGCAGAGACAATGTGCTCGGGGGGGGAGGTGGTAGAGACTTCAGGAGTGAAGTTGAGCCCAGGAAGAAGGGAGGGTTGGGGGGAAGGCATTATAATATTTAGTTTTATTTCTCATTATCCTACTCTGATTTGTTTGGTAACAAATTAAATTAGTCTTTTTTGCCCGTGATGGTAATTGTTGAGTGATCTCCCTGTCCTTATCTTGACCCACGAGTCTTTCATTATATTTTCTCTCCCCTGTCCAGCTGAGGAAAGGGAGTGATAGAGTGTCTTGGCGGGGACCTGGTGGCCAGCCAAGTTCAACCCACCAAAATTTGTCTACACAAGTAGTTTCTTCAGCTAAGAACAGATGGATATTATACAAGCGTGAAATTCAAACAGCAAGGAGATGAACAACAACAGCTTCCATGGCAGTTCACAGCACTGTGATTTAACATGCAGATATTGCTACTTTCAAATACTGCGATAATGCTTAGACTATTATTAACTGTCCTTGGAGATATTCAGAAGCTGTCTGGACATGGTCCTGGGCAGTCGGCTCTATAGGTGGCCCTGCTTGAGCAGGGGGTGTTGGACAAGATGACCTCCAGAGGTCCCTTCCAACCTCAACCATTCTGTGATTCTGTGAACTATGTTACCTGTATCAACAAATTATGGTAAGAGCTGTTCTGTACCATTCTATGGGTGCTCATAGTGATGCTAGTAGGCCTCCTTCTTTATGTTTTGAATTTTGAGAGGCTATAACAATTTTTGGAGCTAAAAGTATCTGTGCATAGAAGAGATCTGTGCAACTACAGGCACATTAATCTTCTTTATAGTATGCAGTGATTTATAATTTATTTTGAATGAAAGACTGTTTAAAGGCAAGCAAATACACAGGAAATGGGATACAATGAATCATGGGTATATCATTGGTAGATCATTCCAGTTTAATAGTCTCCTTTTTTTTAGACAAAGTAAGCGGAACAGTTCTAACTTACCTGGGCTTCAGTAATGTATTTGAAAGGGGATTACAACTGGGTAAAGTTTAGGATTTGAGAAATGCAACCTGCAAAGACCTTCTAGGATCAGTCATGGGACTGGTCTGATTCATATTTCTTTATAGTCTACTTAATGATGTTCATGCAAAAGTAATTTCAGTTGTTCAGCATTACTGAAATTAGTGGCTAGCACAGGTAATTAACTGACCTTAATGCTACAGAGTTATGCTCTACAGAAAGAACTGGACAACTGTGAAGACATGAATTGAAATGAAGTGAAATTTGGTAGTATGATGTGCAAGAGCAAACATTTAAAAAAAAAATAACAAGAACCTCTATTTAAACTGGGAGATCACTAACTGAAATGAAAAAAAGGAGGATAAAGGTCTGTATATATTAACAGAGCATGAGATGACTAAGTAATCAATATGCAATAGCTGAGGAACAGAAGGAGGTTATTTAGGGTATACTGATACATTTTAGGTTATGGGTATTTTCAACAGAGGCAGGAAACAAAAGGACGAGGCACATGTGAAACCTCCTCTGGGATATTATACACATTTAACTCTAGTAATCCATTCCCAAAAAGATGACTTCAAACTGAAACATGAAAGGTGAATGCGGTCAAGATTAATTCCTTTCTGACAAATAATAACTGGAAAGGAAGAGGAGCTGTTTCAGATAACAAAAGCAAACAGGTATAAACTGGCATAGAACTAGAACATTAGAACACTTCTTGCAATTCAAAGACTAAAGTTCAGGAATAGTTTTCCAAGAAGCAGTAGGACAAACCCCCAAATTAACTAATTTTAAAACAGACATTTTTGCACTCTGATTTGTGTGTGATGCAGTCCTATTCAAATGTATCACAGATCAATCTATCTTCTTTCATCTGCACTGGTTCACATCCTTCAAATTTAATACTTGAATCAGTATAAGGTCACAATTTGACTTATACTATAAGAGATATCACCATATTTAACAAAAGATGTTTTTGCTTTAGTAAAGAGAATACAAATTTTCAGGTCTGTTGCTAAGAAAGTTGATGCTTTACATCAGCACGGTTACTTCAGAAAAAACCCTAGGAGGGTTTTTTATTCTGGCTTCTGATATTGTAAACCCATCATCTCTACTCTCCAGCTATTTGCCATTTCAGGAACCAATGGAAATGGAAATTGCTTTTTTCTTTAAGACAATTATCTCATACCAAATGGCTATTCTGGGGGGTTGGTGGTGTTTGTTTTGGTTTGTTTTTTTGCTACTTTTCTGTTTTGTATTTTACTGTTTTTCTATTATGATTAATAACAAGTCATAATCATTTGACAAAACAACAGAACCAACAACACAGAAGACAAAGAAGAAATATGGATGACAAAAACCTGCTTCAGTGCTCTAAATCTATCAGGTTTTGAATTTCTTATTAATCCTTTGCTTAGCAAGCAGCAATAGAAAATGTACTAATATTCAGTGGTCAGAGCTCTTATCTACACTATTGCCAATAAGCTAACATAGCAAAATTTCCTTACTTCTGACCAGTCCAAAGTGACCCACTGCGGGGGACAGGACCGATTGTTACAGGACTCTTTTTCAATAGGCCGGTGTGTTAAACAGTTGGTATTGTCCAGTGTCTCCTCCTCAGAAGGTCCAATCTTTCTGATACAGAGAACTGTTCGTGAACGCATTCCTCCATCACAGGTCTTACTGCATTCTGACCAATCTCCTATAAACCATCTGGATAGAAAAAGTTAGGAGGCTCAGTTAATGCATTTCAGAAACAGAGCAGATCGGTAATTGCACAAACCCAGAACCCAAATAGTTTGAATTACTAAACCTAAATCATTGTTAACATGTATTCACAGTGAAATAAAGTAGAAACTTATAGGTCTTTTCACTGAGCGTTTTAATTTATGCCTCACTGCAATCATATCTTCCAATAATAATACTACCACTTTGTATTTTTCTAGAGCAGCAATTTCCAGCCTAGGCTACAGTAGTTAGAAAGGAGTGTTGAGCCTGACAAAACTGCAGCTATTTAAGTGGATTTGTACTGGACTTGTATGAAACTATTCCTCTGAAAGGGATTTGCAACTGGAAATGTTTGTGAATCACTGCTGTAGATTAAAGCACAAGTTAAAAGCCAAGATGCTTGCCTCTCTAGTATCATTGCAATAAAATAATTTGATCTCAAAATTGGGCTTTCTGAGATTTAATTCTCATCTGATTATGAAACATTTCTAAATTTTTTTATAGAAGGCTATACTGAAATGCAAAATATTCTCATTTATTAAAGTAAAGCAAACACTAGTAAAACATAATTCATCACGTAAAAAAATGACCTCAACAGATATTTAAAAAATGTAAAGCACTGCATGATAGCTGCTAGAGGGACCTTCTGAGTATTTGTGCGTACATAGTAAAAGTTGAGAGCTGTACAGTGTATTTAGATTACTTTGTGACGCTGCAGAGATTAAAGCAGCTGTTAATCTGGCTGTAAAGTTATATTAATTTTTTTCTACTGATGAATGGTTAATGCAGCTCAATTCACTGGAAATATCTCGCAAAGGATGAAGGTGAAGTCTAATATTCTATCACATGCTGCCAATATGCCAAAAATGTCCGGCATATAATTCACTGTGGATGTTCCTGGAGGTATGCTTGAAGCTGCTTCATAAGATTTGTCATTTTCTGAAGCCTCTGTCAAAAAGAATTGCTGCTATCCTGTCTTGTATTACAGAATATGTAATATATTCTAATATGAACCTAGATCAATGCAGAGATGCAAACAAATATGCCATATTCTGCCATTATTTTCCCAGTGAAAGACAATTAATTTGTGATTATTCACCACCAAACTTATGCTTTTACCACAGTAGGGAGAACTAGAAGCTCTTCACAGCTTTTAGGAGGCTGAAGTGTTAATTGTTAGTTGGTACTAAGATTTGCTCAAGTGCATTCTCAGGTACCTTTTATGTTTTACTGTATCTCACATGACAGTACTGTTCATAGGATCCAGAGAGAGTTACCGATATCTTTTCTTGAAATCTGGAACTTTAGGAGTTACTCATTGTAATAACAAACAAAATACTGTGAACAAACACAGTCTTTGCTGCTGTTCAGGAGCCTCAAGTATAACATAACTGGCATTCAGTTAGAAGGAGTTCAATATCTACTCTTAATCAGTATTAACGATTTTCATGCCCATTCTAATAGAATTAGCTACAGATTATCATGAAATTTAAACTAACCAGAGCTCATGAATCAATAAACTGTTGTATTATTTGTCTCAAAATGTAAGAAGGAGCTGTTGTGCATATGCTGAAATTATTTTCTAGTGCAAAATAACACAGCTGTTTCTAAACAGTTTTTGTATTAAGATTAAGCTACGCTATAGGTCCTTACCAAATTTCATTTTTAAACAAATGAGCTGCTGTGTTTTTAATTATCTTTTCAACATGTAGCATACAGCTACTTTAAAAATAAAACTAAATAGACTTAACCAAGTATGTACCTAATCCTAAAGGCACGTAGCATTACTGTACAACACTGAGCATCCTGGAGAGAAAGGTTGTTTGACAAAACTATTATCAGTAAATGATTTGGTCTACTAAGCGGTTTCTATGTTTACCATTTCTCATCTGAACACTTTAACCCAAATTTTAACATACTATACTTAAAAATATGGCAAACATTTAGTATGCAATGTAAATATCTATGGGAAAGTTAGTCTCCCCTCACCTCAAGATTCTTCTGTCATTATTGCCTTAAGAATGGTCCCCAGTTCTTTTCTGAGCATTATTCACCACACCTGATGCTTCCATCATAAGAAACTGCTTTGCTAGTATCTTTTTACTTACAATGTCTGAGTTGCTTTGCATAGTTTAAACACCACCGTTGCTCAGTCAAATCAGGCTTTCTCTAGGTCAAAGTATGTATTTTCCACAACTGATTCCAGAAGAACAAGAAACCATAACCAAAAAAACCCAACAAATATCTAGCCTAATGCTAGATCAGAATTTTATACCACCTTTGATCAAATGGATTTGTTATATATTACAAAGACATTTCTATCTATGCAAAACAGATGTCCGTCTTAGTGATTAATGACTTACTCAGGTGGGCAAGGCTCAGTGTTGCAGGCTCTCTGGTTTTCTGGAGGCTTACTATCAGGGTCACAGTAATTGTTTTGTATAATGGAGTTGTCATCCAGCCTTTTACACACCACCTCTTGTTTCTGCATACCTTGGGATGAAATTAAACACTATTAATTAATCATTCTTGCTCTTCAACTTGTTAAGTGTATTTCACCTATTGATTGTTAATCCTACTATCCACACTTTAATTGTCTGAATGCTCCATGTGTGTGAATTCCGATTGACTGAATGCCCCCTGACCACACAAAATCTTTCATTTTCCTTCAATTTTAGGCCACCTCACTGAGAGAGGATTTTAAATTGCTCTTGTTTTCTAAAACAAAGGAAATATATTTATAGATTTACTAACAGATTGTTTTTATTTGTATATTGCACAAAATCCATTTACTGTCTACTCTCTTCTCCTAGTAAAAGACACTTCAATTTCCAAACAAAACATCACCAAATAGAATGTGGTAGACACTGAACACCCACTAATAACATGGGATTTTCTTTCATCAAACATTTGTAGTCCTTTTGCTCATTTTAAACTAGCTAAACAACTTACCTTGCAATTGTTTCATTTGTTATTCATTACGGACAAGAATCAAATCTCCTACTTTGGTTCCTAAAATGAGACCTATATGGAATTTAGGTATTTAATTCGAATAGTGAGTCAAGCCTAGCCTTGAGATGCCTTAAGCTTGACCCACAAAGCATCTTGCTTGGCTAGGAACGGAAGTCTCCCAGTCTAAGCACAGAGGCATGTGAAATGTCTCTATGACATTATGTGCAAAGAACCTGGGGAAGACTGTAATCACCTTTTTCACAAGTCTTGAGGATGGCATGCAGTCCCCCATGAGGCTGCAGATCCAGAAGTAGTAGGTATGATCCCTTCTCAACCCTGAGGGGATCCCTACTTCCCATGAGCATAGACTAACTTCTGTGACTTAGTGATTATTTTAGCTAAGGTGGCAAGACTGTGGTTTCTAGTCTGTAGATTATTTCTAGTTTTTATTCAGTTACAGTCTGATGTTAAATGTCTAAACCATCTTGAGAGCAGCGATGAAAATCCATACCTGCCTGTGCTAGATGAATGTCTTATTTGCTGGTAACAGATTATGCCCCTTTCTTGTCTTCCTGCCATTGGCCCCATGAATCTTGCATCCCCAGTTGCACTGTGGCCCAGAATGCTTATTAAAAAAATCTCCCCTTCCCCTACCCCTCTTAGACACCTCAACTATTCTATGGCACACAGAGTACTCTTCTGGAGATGCACTCCCAGTTGAAATCTCTTCAGTCTGATATAGGGAATTGCTGTTTAATAACCAACATGGTATCCTGCAAAATATGGGCATTATCCCTTAATGTAAAAATATAGCCTTGTTAATTCAGATACTTTCAGGAAAACCCAGCTGTCTGGAACCTAAGCACATAAAAATGTTCCATGTGTGGCCTCAACTCAAATGTGCACGTTCCTGACAAGCAGGGTAGGAGTTAGATTCATCACTCAACATACTACTTCTTACAGGCTGCCTGTTTAGCAGATGAGAACTTTGTATCAACCCTCAAAATCACCTGCCTCCTCACCTTACCTCAAAATCCTTAACTATACTGAGACCAAAGATACCAAATGCTGAAGTCTTCACTCTACTGCAGTACCTAAATCCAGAGTCCCAGCTTTGCTGCTGGGATATCTCCTTTTTGATTACAGCTACACATAACCTTCCCAAAGTAGGCACTTTAAATCAGGTTGTAAATCATTTGACAGTCTGACATCACAAGTTATCCATAAACATCACAATCTTTTTAAAGTAAGCTTTATTTATGAAAAAGACATTGATTAGTATGAGACATGTCTTACAGGTGAGCCAGGTAAACCAATCAGCTGCTTCCATTTGCTGTTCTTTCTACATGTATCTGGATGCCACAACATTAGGCAACAGTAGGTACCGCTAAACAGCACAGAAGGCTGCCAGACTGTTTTCCAAGTGTATCCTACATACACAAATCTACATGAACAAGCCAAAAAGACAATACCATTTCTGAAGAGTATTCAGCCTCCTTTTTTTTTTTGTTAATTTACAATTTATGTGCTTTACATGTTGGAAAAAAAACTTTGCACAACCCTTCTGTGCATCTGTGCTGGTTTTGGCTGGGAGAGTTCATTTTCTTCATAGAAGCTAGTATGAGGCTATGTTTTGGATTTTGGATGGAAATAATGTTGATAATAGACTGATGTTTTCAGTTGTTGCCAAGCAGTCAAGGACTGTCCAGCTTTCATGCTGGCCTGCCAGCGAGAAGGTGAGGGGTGCATGGGAAGCTGGGAGGGGACACAGCCGGGAACACATTTTATTCTTAAATTAAAATTGAAAGCATGTAAATGCTATATTTATTTTAAAAGCAATCCCCAAAAATTGTGGTTTGTGATTGCAACAGTTAATTATAAAGATGCCAATATTAATACGTAGTGAATCTTGCATCACTAAAACTAGTGCATGCTGGTTAATCCAGACATACTTTCTGAGCTCACTCATCAGATCACAATATTTTCATTACAGAGCCAAACTTACATTTTCCTTGATGAGGACAAGTAACTAGTGATAGGACGAGAGGAAATGGCCTCAAGTTGCGCCAGGGGAGGTTTAGATTGGATATTAGGAAAAATTTCTTTACTGAGAGAGTGGTCAAGCATTGGAACAGGCTGCCCAGGGAGGTGGTGGAGTCGCCATCTCTGGAAGTGTTCAAAAAATGTGTGGATGTGGTGCTTTGGGACATGGTTTAGTGGACATGGTGGTGTTGGGTTGACGGTTCGACTTGATGATTTTAGAGGTCTTTTCCAACCTTAACAATTCTGTGATTCGGTCATTCTGTGAAATCAAAACCAATGCTTAGGGTACCTGGTAAATTCCAGATAATAAATCATAGAATCATAGAAACTTTGGGTTGGAAGGGACCTTTAAAGGTCATCTAGTCCTACCCCCCTGCAATGAGCAGGGAAACCTTCAACTAGATCAGGTTGCTCCGAGCCCCATCCAACCTGACCTGGAATGTTTCCAACGATGGAGCATCTACCTCTCTAGGCAACCCATTCCAGTGTTTCACCACCTTCATTGTGAAAAATTTCTTCCTTATATCTAGTCGAAATCTGCCCTCTTTTAGTTTAAAACCATTACCCCTCATCCTATCGCAACAGGCCCTGCTAAGAAGTCTGTCCCCATCTTTCTTATAGGCCCCCTTTAAGTACTGGAAGGCTGCAGTCAGGTCTCCCTGGAGCCTTCTCTTCTCCAGGCTAAACAACCCCAACTCTCTCAGCCTGTCCTCATAGGAGAGGTGTTCCATCCCTCTGATCATTTTTGCGGCCCTCCTCTGGACCCGCTCCAACAGGTCCATGTCTCTCCTGTGCTGAGGGCTCCAGAGCTGGACGCAATACTCTACGTGGGGTCTCACCAGAATAATAGTAAATGCTCTCATTTTTTGCCATTTATTGCTAGAATTCTATTAAGCATTTAAGAAAATTAAAAAAAAAGGGGTATACACTTATTGGATTTTGTTTTTAATATATACAAAATTAAAAATACATAGAAGGACTTTTTTCCTGTGTTGGATTTTTTTAAACAATACTACCAGCAGTTCACTTTCTTATTAAGAATACTTATGGATCTGGACAAAGTCATATACTTACCTTTGGAAAGCTACAAGATATCATACAAGGAAAGACAGGCATGAGAGTGGATAAAATGCAATTCTGTGATCTCTAAGTGATATATATCACCCTTTTCTGTTGTCCTGGTTTTGGCTGGGATGGAGTTAACTTTCTTCCTGGTAGCTGGTATAGTGCTGTGTTTTGGAGTTGGTATGAGAATAATGTTGATAACACACTGAAGTTTTTAGTTGTTGCTAAGTAGTTGTAGTGCTTATACTAAGTCAAGAACTTTTCAGCTTCCCATGCTCTACCAGTGGGGAGGTACACAAGAAGCTGGGAGGGGGCACAGCCAGGACAGCTGACCCAAACTGGCCAAAGGGATATTCCATACCATATGACATCATGCTCAGTATATAAACTGTGGGGAGTTGGCCAAGGGGGGGTCACCATGGCTCGGGAACTGGGTATCGGTCAGCAGGTGGTGAGCAGTTGTACTGTGCATCACTTATTTTGTATATAATAATAATAATAATCATCATCATCATCATCATCTCACCCCACGAGTTTTACTTTTTTTTTTTCCGATTCTCCTCCCCATCCCACGGGGGAGGGCAGGGAGAGGAGTGAGTGAGCAGCTTCATGGTGCTTGGTTGCTGGCTGGGGTTAAACCACGACATCTATTTTAACACTTTCTTCTTCTCTTTCCAGCCTTCATTTTATTGTTTTATTACCTATTTCTATGTATTCTAGTTTCCCCTTTCTTAGATTTTTGTCTTTAAACAATTAAATAATCAAGTCCTTAAAAAAATCTTCTGTTTTTGTCATCAATTTTTTCTGAATTCCAGCAACCTGTTCATCCATCCATCCCTTCTATATTCCCTGTGTTCTTTCCTCTCCCACTCTTCTCTGTCTAGATGAACTAGCACTGTACATTCTGGTATTCTCTGGCATTGATTTCCTGTAGTCTTGTCCAAGCCTGCCACCAGCTATAAAGACCTATATAAGATAGTAACAAACTTTCCTTCCAAAAATTCTTGACTCGGAGTAGAACAGTTATCAGTGAACTTTCAGGAAAGGGATTTAATATGGAGAATACATGTAGCTCAGTTTTAAATAATGTTCCCAGAGAGGAAAGACTAGCTCAGAGAGTATAAATTAGTATTTTCAAGAAAAGTTTTTCAATATAGAAAATACTGGTTCTAGTATACAAAAAGAAAAGCTGCAATTCTGGATTTCCAAGCCTAAGAACAGATACTGAGAGACAGATGTTAAAAATGAATGAAATCATATACTCATCCTGCATATAAGTACATGAATCCAGGAAAAGTTGTTACCAGGCAAGCTCTTTTAACTACCTGGTAAATCTGAAGAACCTATTTTTAGAAAAATCTCAAGAAAATACCCAAATAAAACTCAGATTTTGGAGACGTGGTTTCTGCTAAATTCACTCTACAGGATATGATCCTCACTTGCAGAGCAACTATGGAATATTTTCTTCTTTTCTCCTTTAACATGAATGACACTACTAAATACACAAGGAGTTGAATGCGCTATTAGCAAGTTTGCTGATGATACTAAACCGGGAAGTGCTGTTGACTCTCTTGAGGGACAAGAGGCCTTGCAGAGGGATCTAGATAGATTGGAGCACTAGGCAATCATCAATGGCATGAAATTTAACAAGAACAAATGCCAGACACAAGTATAAATTGGGAGAGGAGTGGCTGGAGAGCAGCCCTGCAGAAAGGGATCTGGGGGTGCTGGTCAATGGTAGGCTCAATATGAGTCAGCTGTGTGCCCTGGCAGCCAAGAGGGCAAACCGCATCCTGGGGTGCATCAAACACAGTATAACCAGCCGGTCAAGAGAGGTGATTATCCCGCTGTATTCAGCATTGGTGTGGCCTCACCTTGACTACTGTGTGCAGTTCTGGGCCCCACAATTTAAGAAGGATGTTCAGGTCCTTGAATGCGTCCAGAGGAGGGCAACAAAGCTTGTGAAAGGGCTGGAAGGCAAGTCCCATGAGGAGCGGCTAAGGACTCTGGGGTTCTCTAGTTTGGAGAAAAGGAGGCTGAGGGGCGACCTCATTGCTCTCTACAGCTTCCTGAGGAGGGAAAGCGGAGAGGGAGGTGCTGATCTCTTCTCCCTGGTATCCACTGACAGGACGTGTGGGAATGGTTCAAAGCTGCATCAGGAGAGGATGGAGGGACTCCATAAGAGGGACTGGACATTAGGAAGTATTTCTTTACCACGAGGGTGGTCAAACACTGGAACAGGATTCCTGGAGAGGTGGTAGATGTCCCGTGCCTGTCAGTGTTTAAGTGGCATTTAGATAATGCCCTTAAGATGCTTTAATGGACTAGATGATTGTTGTAGGTCTCTTCCAACTGAACTATTCTATTCTATCACTCACTAAAGAAGGACTAACTTCCTTCTGGTTTTTAAATGCAATCTAAAGATGTAACTGTTTGTTTCACAAACTTTATCCCCTAGACTCTTCTGTGAAGAATAATGTCTACTGTGGAAAGAGTCCATTGATTTGAGGTGCCCAGCTGAGTTTTCAGAATACTTCACTTTACACACACTTGATGAACTTCATTGCATGCTTCAGAGCTCAGACATTTCAGAGACGTACCCAGATAACAATGAACTGATAATTAGCAAGTAAGACTGTGACGTACGCTTTGAGTTGCTCAGTATCACATGCGAACCACACAAGGGAGGCAGGAATGGAATCCAACGCTCTCGCACCACACTGAGCTGTCATAAGCAGGAAACCCTCCTCCTTCTTATCATACCATTTACAGCATGCTCTTCCTATTCTGCAAAACTGAGACAGGCCCTGAACAGAGGTTCCATTTTAAAAGTTAAAGTGCTTTTACTGTTCAGATGTGACTCATCAGCACAGCAGAGATGAATGTAAGATAGAAGTCCAGTGGAAAAGACAGCACATTACCACCTAATAAAGACTGTAGGTTGCTCTTAGCTTGCTCCTTGGCTCCTGACTGCTCCAGTTATCCCTCTCCAAGACAAGGCCTATAGACAGCTCTAGGAATTGCTGAATGTAGTGGATTGCTCTCAAAAGGCTATGAAGAAGAGATTGCACAAAGTTCAGACACTTCTGCAATATACAATACTCCAAAATTATTTAAACTTTGCACTGCCAAAATGCTGCTCTAGCCTTTGTGCTCTACTTCATGACATTCAATGCATATCCTCAAGTTCATATCACTCTGGTGGGCTGTACGCAGTTCTCATTTTTTCTATTTTAGACACTTTGAATTAAAAAATATACACCAAGTAATAACTATGTTTTAAGACTCACAGACTTGGTCAAATGCTATGTAATGCAGATACAGTCATGATTTAGAGAACTAGACCTAAATAGTGTGGAGTGGATATGAGCTAGTCTGGGACACAGCCTCAGGATCAGAGAATGGTCCCTGCTCAACTGGTCCCTGTTTCACAGAACAGCCACAACCACAGAAAACAATTTAAGATTTCATAGTCATCCTTAATTCTGTCATTTCCTGGTGTCTAAATACTCGCAAATTTGATGTTCTTTTAAGACAGCTTTTTAAGTGTAACATACACCTAGACAAAAAGACAACATTAGAATACAGACATGTTCAGAGATGGACAGAAGTTAAATGTGTTGATTACAATTTAGATTTGTCTACAGCTTTGATATAAAGCCTATGCTTTGATATAAAAGTATATTTGGCTCTACATCATCTAGAGCTTCCCTGATGGGAATATCATATGATCAAACCTTGATCAGTCCATGTACTACAGGTGTGCTACACCAACTACAATGAGAGGCAGGAAAATGTTGATGCCTTTAACCTGCTTACAGTCTGTCCAAAGTCACTACATAATATTTTTAACCTCATAAATAAAAAATAATTTCCATACTAATATTCCTCACAGATGTTCATTGCCCTTTTTTTACTTTCAGTGAGAAATCCTTTAACTGTTGAATATTTTGTTAACCTTTGATGCAGAGCAAAATTTATCTTCTTAGAAGAGAAAGTTCAAGACAGAGTTCAAGTAAATAGATTTCCAGTAATGGACTTCATAATGAAGCCTATAGAAATAAACAAAGCCATGCAGTGGTTTCATTTCTGAGATTGCTCAACACTTCATATTTATATTAGACAGCTTTTCCAGTTACGGTCTCTGTCTCTACAGTCCTTGTCTCCCTTTCTTTTTCCCTGACTCAGCTCCTTTTTAGAATTGTGTTTTCTTTTGGCATATGGCAAAAGGTGCTTCATAAACTGTGGGGAATAGCAGGTACTCATATGGAGAAAGCAGATACATTTTTTAACATGAATCATAGCTAAATGAAATTTATTCCCTGAGCGCAGACCTCAGTGAAAATAAGTGACCACAGTATATCCTCATACTAAGCTGAAAGGAGAGAAAAGTGCCTGGTTTAGCCACCATAAGCTACTGAAGAAAATCTTTCCCTCACCCCCAAAGGTTCAAATGAATAATAAATGTATGCAGTTATGATGGATTCACAAATCTTCCCTTAGAAGTTAATTAATTATGTCAAAATGTTCTTATTAGATAAGTGCCAACTCCTTCAGAGACAATTATTTTTTCTGTTGCATACTTTCCAATCTGTGAAGTGACAATGACCTGCATGACAGAAGATCCATGGCTAAAATCTTGTCTCTGCCTAAATCAATGGGAGTTTTCCCATGACTTCAAGAAGATCATTACCTCATTGCCATCATAAAAATAGGACTTGGCAGTACTTGGAACTGTCTTTTGTTATGAGATTTTTTTAAATGTTCCTTTTCCTCCCAGACTCACCATTGTTAAAATAGTAGTTAAAAAAGCAATCTGTCACTCATTTGATTACAAGAATCCAACAAATGAACAATAAAAATATTGGAGAAAGTTGAAACCTTCCTCTATTTTATTTCAAGACTTTCTCTAGCTGCACAGAATAGAATTTGTGCTGTAATTTGTATCTTATATATGGCTAAGCAAACTGCTGTATTTAAACAGCAAACAACTAGTAACAGCCACAGCAGGATCCAGCAGAAAGATGAGTCAAGATGATTCTAAACATGAATACTTCCAGTAGCCATAAAAAAAGGTAAAGAACAAATATTTGGTCCAAAGGTTCTTTAAAAAAATACAGTGTCTTCCTCTTGCTATGAGCAGTGCACAGTGCAGTAGAAAACTGAAATTCTGAGGCAGATTTAAAGTGCTCTCCCATATTTTCTGAAATTGAGGTATGTTGGGGAGACGATGCATTCAGTCTCCAGAGAGAAGAAAGATACTGTTCACACAGCACTTCTACTCACCGGTCCATGCAGCAGCAATGGTGTTGGCTTTGAAGGAAGCCAACTGTCCTGCTCTCCCAGCCAGAGGTAAAGAATTGCATTGGTGGCCACTAGAGGGAGGATTAGGAATATAGTAAATTGTGGGCAAAAGGCACCCATGATGAATCATATGGGACAACCTACAAATCCCCCACCACTGCCAATAGGCAACAATTCTCAGATACTGCTATGGGCTGGGAAGTATAACTGAGTTGTTGTTATCTGCTACAGGGGAGCTGCTAGTGTGTATCCTAAACTTTGGTGGCTGGAGGATAGGAGGACTGACTAGGATCTCGTGAAGCATACCTACAAACACACAAAGACACATCCCTTTATTTACAGTTGCCTTATTTGCCTTCTGTTTTTTAATCTCCTTAAAACTTCTGATGTCCTTTATCAAGAAAGCTCCTGTGAAAAGCAAACAACCCAGCTTCAATAGAATCGCAGAAGAAGCATCAGCAGGCAGAGACACACTGTGCCAAGGTACACTGTATTTAGCAAAAAGATCTGAACATATTGAATGTACTTGAAAACAACAAAATCCGTTGTGATAAAATAAATGTTCTTTCACTAAATTAAGGTTTGAGGCATGTCTGAAAGAAATGTTTTCAATTAGTTACCTACATAATTATGTAGTAAACTGTATCTTGCAATTCAGTTTACCCTGAAGCTTGACTGCCTGGTGTCTTACCTCCAGCACAAGTGGCAGAACATTCTGACCAAGGCAGATGATTCCATGCAAAGCCAACTTCATTGTCTCCACTGCCAGTGCGAGAGATGGGAACACTGAATTTATACCTTATACCCAAATTTGGTTCCTGTAGCAGAATCTGTAGTTGAAAACAACTCGTTATACCATTAAAACAGGCAAGCAGAGAGCAACTACAATGATATTTAATCTAGGTATGTGCTATGTCCTGTGGAAGGGAAAAAAGTAATAAAGGAAGCCATAGTAGTTCTTTTAGGTATTCCCAAAAGAATCTGGGCTAACTTTTAAAACATATATAAAAGTATTATTGTCTAAGGTGAGCTTTGTCTATTTTTCCCTTGACACAACTTTATAACTTCTGTAAGTTATTTATTCTTGACATCATTATTCTAAAAAGCCAGTTTTCATAAAATTAATGTCTTAATGGAAGTTAATTTGGTAGTTGACTAATTACGTGAGGTCAAAGTTGGTTAAGGACATTACTGTGCAAACATGCAGCAGTCCTCACTGAAATCTTGTGAGGAGCTACTCACATAGCAATTATGAACCTAGCTCTGCCCTTGCTTACACTTCTCGTGACTATGATAATAGCAATAATAGTAACAGCAACAGACTGTTGCTGAGGTCATTGCTTTCCCCTAATGCAATAGCCAACAGCATTAGCTTGGTGGAATCACACCTGTGGTTCCTTTAAAGGAATATCAAAACTCACTGCAGCTATATCACTGCAAGTGATACAGATGGAAGTTCAACAGTCACTATGAGCTTTTGGCTACCTTCACTGTTGAACTGCAGTTCCACATACCACCTGTCCAACGCTAGTCTTTGATTCTCTACCTAACTTTTTCTTTCTGTCACTAATAATATATATCATTGCTAAGATGCAGCAATCTGACACATCTTAGAGCTATTTCTCATCTCCTTCTACCTTCCATGATATTTTGCAGAGGCATATATGCCTATCTCCATGGGACAAAAGAGCAAAGAACTGCTCAGAAAGTCAGTCAGTCAGTGGCACTGACTGAATGAGAAAAGGCACTATTAATCATTGTGTAACTCATTCTATATGGAGTCTAGCTTATCCACAGCTACATCAGAAAAAAGCAGGATTTGGGTGTTTGAAAATGGCACCTAAAATGTGAATATCCAGGCAACTATCATTCTATACACAAAAATATCCTGTCTGGCTCAAGCAATCCCTGAACTGCAAATCTGGCATCTGATAGAATATATCACCCTGTTCTTATACTCCTCCCCAACACAGTAGAGCAACAGTAGGCTCACTATTGCCTACCATCAGAGACAGGGCATCAGGACCCTGGTCACATCTTCTGTTACATTCTTATATTTTGTACAATTTATTCAGAGCAATGTATGTCAGAGCAACATACTTTAATACAGTCAAATCATTATTTTCTTGCTGTGGTAAAAGGATACTTCACACTCAGGCCAGGCTTAAAACCACTGACATCTACAGAACTGTCAGGAACTGTCATGCTATAACTTAACACTTCCATGTATCAGCAGTATGCAGAGATACATTATACACCCCATTTACAATTTCTGCTACCATTATTCTGAAGCACATTTAACACAGATGGGGTGTTTTCTGTGAGATTTCCTGGGGCTCTTCTGACTTTATCCCTTTTCCATCACAATATTTGCCTGTCAGTTTTGAAAGATAAGCAAGCTGTGTTAAAAAGTTATGTCCCAGCTAGTCCCAGCTAGGCAAGCTGTATACTCTTTGTAAACACAACCTATTTTGATTTCATTCATGGCCTTGTCTTTCCTAAGAACATAAATATATATTTCAAATTTCAGAAATATATTAATTATAACTTTACCATGACTATGAGATTTTCTGAAGTAGGGCCTAGTGCTTCCAAAGACTCTGGCTCATCTGTTGGCCTCTTGTAATGGAAAGCTGTTCCAGCAACACCAAACTTTCTTGGCCAGTCAATAGTCCAGGCACCATTAATATAGTAGTCATCCTCTTCAGATTTTAAAGCTTAAAAAAAAAAACAAGCCACCTAAAAATTGGAAGCAGCATTTATAATGGAGAAGCCATTGCAAATTAAACTACTAATCTGTTAGAAGTATGTGAGCTTCACCACAACATCACTGTTTTTTCAAGCAATATAAAACCTTTTCTTTAGCCCTGGTTCAAAATATCCCTCATGCAGTTTGACAATATTGCCTCTTCAATAATCTTCAATGCGCAGGTATACTTTGCAGATTTCAACATGCAGGTGCTATATGGAACAAAACAGAATACCTCATGCAACTTGCAATATATCTTCGACTTTAGAACTGAGCCCATGTGCAATGTATGCTGTTCTACTTAAGATATATGTAGGTCTCAAATGTATAATAAATTATCAATCTAATGTTTAGATTAAGATGTTGGGGCATGGGACAGGTATCTCAGATAATGTACAGAGGAAAAAAAGGAACACTGAGTCTGACATATGGTCCCAATCAGCTCTTGCTTTGTTGTCTTTGTCCACTGGTGGTTTTTTCTGTCTTAAAGCATAAATCCAAGATATTTCTACTACAAAACCAAATACTAGCTATTTAATGTGCCAAGATGCTTTATTATACCTAATTTACAGCCTTAAACCATAAAAGTACTGTAGACAAAGCATAAATTTCTTAGCTAACCAACCAAGCAGATATTATTTAGGGACTTATATTTGATTTTTTATCAATAATATTAGATTAAGTTTCTAAACAAGAAACTGACTTTGTACCTTAATGTGAACATTCTGTTAATTAGACATTGACTTCTTGACTTAAGGTGAAGATTACCGAGTTATTCAGCATTCATATTTGCATACATATTTTAACATAATAAACTCATTTTTAATTACTATAGTGCTTGTACAGTTCTTTTTAGGGAGCTAACTAGAAGCCTTTCTTTCCCCATAAACTGGTGAACCTAAAATAGTGATCTAGTTCACACTCACAGTACAAAACATCCCAACACAAAATGAAATGGCCCCTGTGACTTATTAAAATTATCTTTTATTAGGATATAATGGCAGCTTTGAAAGTTCAAAACACAAGGAACTAGTGAAGGAGAGGAATCCCCCATTTGTGTTAACCAGGACTTCTGTAGCATGAAGCAAGGCAGTGAGGAGAGAGCCTGAAACACAGGAAACCCCTTGAAATTGTGACAAACACATTAAAAAAGTATTTATGTACTACTTTACAGTTTTAGACCTGTGGCCAGATTAAAAACCAAAGAAGTTGCCTATATTTTTTATTTAAGCCCCAAAATTGACATTTTTCATTCGTTTTATACAGATGGTGTTGATCTAAATGGTTTTCCAGATCACTTTCCTCTGCTTATAAATTAGAGGAATAACAAACTTAATTGTAGTAGCTAACAATATCTTCTTTATTCTGGTTTTCAGCTACCCACGGAATCAGAAACACAATATGAATCTGTGTATTAAATATATGACAGTAATATTGGTGTAGATTTCAATGTTACAAAGTGCTCTTTTGACAATATGATTCTTAGCAGAAAATGACCATGATCGGATGCATTGTATGCCTCTCCCACCACCTCTGTTTGAAATGTTAATATAGGATATATGAGCAACCTTACCCACAGTATATTTTGACATAGGGGAGGGGCCAGGGGGAGCGTGATGCTGAAAGAATAATAAGCACTCTATTGCTGTAGTAGTGGTGGTGGTATTCCTGCAGAATGGAGGGAGATTGATAATATGCTGAATTACAGGAGGGTGGGAACAGGCAGAAAGAAAAGTAGGCATCCAACAGTAAAAGGTACCATTATTACCAATATAATCAATTTAAGAATTAATGTACCTAGGAGAGTAATTGCCCTTCAAACTCACACTTACAGGCATCATATGCAAATCAGGGTACAGAGACTTTCAGAAATGCATGTTGTCATGAGTTTGACAAAGCCAGATTTGTACGCATCAGTATTAAAAAAACAGAAAGCAAATTTAACACAGTCTTTAAAGAAAGGAATGATAACCTGGGAATTTGAATTTAATTCTGTGCTTTACCACAAGCTTCCTGAATGATCTCAATTAAGCACCTAGTTTTTCTCCACCTCGTTTTCCTTATCTATAAAACAGAGATGGCATTAAGTACCTACAACACAGCAACAGAGAAACACTGTGGAATACATACATTAAATTGCCTTAAGATAAGGAGACAGTATTGTTAGCATTTGAGTAACCATGGCTGTTGATGAATAATAATTTCAAGAATAAAATGGTGTTTTAAAACAGTACAACTCCCCAAGATCAGAGACTTCCCCAGGTGGAAGACACTACCTCAGAGTGGGACAGCATATCATTTGAGCGTTCCTCATTCACTTCAGCTCAAGTCTGACATTAGAATTATAGTGAAGTTGACCTGATTTTGCACCAAGTGGACAAGGAGGAATCGCATGATGTATTTCAATAGCTCAGGACAATTGCTGCAACTGTCTGACCACAACCTAATATTAACAACTACCATTCCCTCTGCTGCTTCTACTATGTGTATGGTTTGACCAAACCAGAAAATGTACCTTCAAATCACATCATAAACTCTAACTTAATAACAGTCCGCTATTTAAACCATGCTCTTACCAATGTAGT